AGAGCTATACACTTCCTCCAGGAACTGATACAATCTGCACAATCTCCTTTAGATGTTCCAACAACAAGTGTAACAGCCTGCCTGATTGGTTACAAATGGAATAGATGATGTAGATATTTATTATTACATAGTTTGGGGAAATCTAAGGTTGATTGTATGGTCAGATTGTAACGCCTATGCTGACCCTTAAGCCGGCCATACACCTTATCCCTCCCTCCCAAGCCCCCAGAACACATAATAAACTCCCCCCCTCCCAAGCCCCCAGCACACATATTAAACATCCCCCCTCCCTCCTTTCCTTCCAAGCCCCCTCACCTGCTTGCATCTGTGCAGGGAGGAGGCACATCATCATTCCCTGGTGATTAGTAAGGTCTAGTGTAGACCTTACTAATCATCCATCATTCGGCCGTAGCTCAGAACTGACAGAGCTCTGGCCGGAGCTGACAGGAGTAGCTCTGCAGTCTGCATCCGACACAGATGCAGACCGTGCAGCTGCTCCCGCAAGTCGGGCACGCAGTCCGCGACCGTGTGCCCGACTTGTCAGCTGGCTGCGGGCCACATAGTACCGGCTCGCGGGCCGGTACTTTGAGACCCCTGTTGTAAAGTGTGTGGTGATTATAAAGGGGATTGTGTAGTCAGATTATAACATGTATGATGAGCTCTACTCTGGTCGGGTGTTCATATCACTGCCTGCTTGACGTAGACATTCCTATTGCCTGTGCAGCGGTGGGGTCCTCTCCAGAAGAGGAGTGATGTCATTGGATGGGGGCGGTAGGAGACCAGCCAGTGAGGGATCGTTTGCATCTCTGGATTAGTACCGGTAGTAAAAAAAAAAAATCTCTAGCTACATGCCCATTCTACTTACCGAAAGCTGTGGTCACATAATCCTCTAGTCCTGAGTCTTCTCTCCCCCTTTTCTTACTTCCGGCCCTATGGTTGGTGTCAGTGGCATGCAACTAACCCCATGGCTGGTGTTACTAAAATTAACCCCATCCTTGCATTGGTGTTCAGTGGTGACCTGATCAGACTTTACCGTATTGCTGCTCTGCTACTCACCTTCCAGAACCTATGCTGTCACTGTCAGAGCCATAACTATGCCGTCACTGACGGGGCTGAAACTTGACTGTCACTGACAGGCTGGAACTATGCTGTCTCTGAGGGGGTCGGAGCTATGCTGCCACTGATGGGGCCAGAACTATGCGGTCACTGGCGTGCCCGGAACTATGCTGTCACTGGCGGGGCCGGAACTATGCTGTCACTGGGGGGGCCGGAACTTTGCAGTCACTAACAGGGATGGAGCTATGCTGTCACTGACGGGGCCAAAGCTATGCTGTCACTGACTGGGCCAGAGCTATGCTGTCACTGACGGGGCCAGAACTATGCTGTCACTGACTGGGCCAGAACTATGCTGTCACTGGCGTGGCCAGGACTATGCCGTCACTGATGGAGCCAGAACTATGCTGTCACTGGCGGGGCCAGAACCATGCTGTCCTGGGCAGGGCCAGAACTATGCTGTTGCTGACGGGGCCATAACTATGCTGTCACTGCAGGGGCCAGAACTGTGCTGTCACTGGCAGTGTCGGAACTGTGCTGTCACTGGTGGGCTGGCGGACTGTTTGTATAACTGTGACATCACCACACTTGTATTTAGTTGAGAACTACAAATCCCTCTTCCACAGTGGCCAATAGGACTTATAAAGTCTGAATTTACCGTTCTTGTCAAAGGATCTATGAATGGATGATATGGATGTGTGGGCGGAGCCAAGCACAGCTGCGCCAAATTCAAATTTGTAAACAAGTCTGCGGGAATACGAAGCTAGTGATTCAGTGAAATGGGCCCACCCTAAATATGGGTGTAACATGAAATATGATCAGAAAGATCAACTTAGCTTTTAAATTTGTTTTGGGTAATTGGGTAATTTACCCTTTAAATAAATAAGGTACAATTAGTTCCAGTGTTCCGCAGCAGCTTCCCTTCTGCTCTGAAAACACAGCAGCTATTCAGAGAATGCCAAGTATATTTTACAAGGTGTTCTCTGATTGGATGTGGAGAGGATTGTGATGTCACTGCCCTTTGTCTAATCAGAGAATGCCTTGTATTCAGAGCAGAGGGCACAGGACCAGGAAGATCACGGCCAGCACTGTATTAGCTTGGCTGGCAACTACAGTGTCATAGACAACCCGCAGCATCTGATCAGCTATGCCATATGCGTACTTTAGGCCAAGTTGGATCGATAGAAGTATGCAGAATACTGCAAATCTGGAGTTCAGCTTTAAATGTAATTGTTAAAGCATAATATATATATTATATATATTATTATTATTAGAAATGAGTGTCAGCAACAAGTTTTTAACTTTGCAAAGGTCAGCTGCCTAACTTTAATGTAAGAGTGCAAGTATGTAACACTATGGGGATGATTTAGAAATCATCCGGCCAGACAAACGCTGGCCAAATGCCATTCCCACAGCATTCTCGCCACTGGATGGAGACAAGGAGTATAGAAAATTCCTGTGCTCCTCAGCTCGATCTAGTGGTAAGAATGCCATGCAAATGACAATGTGCCAATGTATGGCTGGGCAGATGTTTTATAAATCATCTCCATAGTGTTACATATTTGAACCCTGACATTCAGCCATTCATCCCCTCTGAGACTGCAGTCCTTGGCAGGGTTTGGTTGGCTTTCCATACGCATACAACAAAAAAAACTGTATTAAATGTTTTTTTTTAATGGAAATTTGTTTCCGTATAAGCATGAAGAATATTTTTAATTTGCTGCCTCTTTTTCCTAGAGGTATCTTGTAATAAAACCAGTCCCTGCTGAGAAACTGGAGCCAGTGACATCTGTTCTTGATTCCTGTGCCAATGGCTAATTTTCTCAGCTGCCTTCTAATAAAGTTACAAATCAAATATTTTCTACAAATGTAATAAAATTAGTTATGCACTTTTTAATGATATAACTGTAAATAATGATATTCTTCAAATGAAAGCTATGCACAGGGGTGTCCCTAGCCTTTTATCGCTGCCGGTAAGGGGGGGTGGTGCTGGTGGTGTATGCTAACCAGAACCAGGGAGGAGGAAAGGGGGATTGCCTCTGTATCATCTCACCACCAAGCTCTGGTTTCAGGTCCAGCTGGCATTCCACCCACCTCCTGGCAACCAGCGACGTCACTGGTTGCCAGGAGCTTGAGTGGGGCGCGGTGTCCAGAGCGTCCCAGGTTGCTAAGAGCTGGGCCTGGAGATTTTTATGACTGTTACACATCTCCCGCCAAGCTCCACCATCTTCCGCCAAGCTCCACTGTCAATCTGCCTGCCGCCACCCCAAAGTGCAACAGATTTCTCTATTTACGCCAGTGGTTCTCAACCTTTCTAGAGCCGGGACCCCTTGGTAACATTTGCCAAGTTGTGGTAACCCCCAACAGTAAAATTTAGGGATGACGACGTGGCTGCTGCACGACATCTGGCGGCGTGGCAGGAGAGCCTGATGAAGGGGGACCATGCGCGGCCCCGAAAGCGCTTGTAATGAGTGACATCAATAAAGGGATTTTCACTGACATCTAAAGTCTTTGTCGTGCTGGTGTGCTGGTGACGTTCTTATACTTGTGGCAGGAGAACTGACACTGCTGCACTAGGAGAGGGCTGAGGAGGACTCTCACCTAGCACAGCAGAAATCACGCACCCACAGGTTGAGAACCACTGCGTAAAGGAGACAACGAATCCCATAGGACTACAACAAATCGCAGCAATAGTCCATTATACTATAATGTTCTATTGCTGGGATTTGTAGTCCTCTGTAGCTGGTGTTATTCTGCGTTGCGCTGTAGAATTTATTATTGCTGGGAGTTGTAGTCCTCTATAGCTGCTGGTATTCTGCAGTGTGCTTTATAATGATTATACGGCGCAACACAGAATAACAGCAGCTACAGAGGACTACAAATCCCAGCAATAGTACATTAT